GTGTTCTGCACAGTTTCCCTCCTCTGACATTTCTAGGGCATTTGTGGTGTTGTGGTGTATTTATTGTGCTTGTGAGTCTTGGAGCATTACCAGTCCAATATTCTGCTGACAGACCTGTGCATACACAGCTCAGGAGCAATTTCTGCTGCTCAGTTGCTAATTTGGGATCCTTTGGAACAAACTGGGGAACTTCACCTCGTTGACCCCACACCTGTGAGTTCCCTCACTGTGGGTCTGCCCGTGGGGCTCCTGCAGCCTTGGTGGAGGTGCCAAAATGTGGAGGGCGTGGGGAGATCACAGAATCCCAGAATTGTTGGGCTTGGGACCTTAAAGCTCATCCAGTGCCACCCTCTGCCACGGGCAGGGACACCTCCCACCAGCCCAGGTTGCTCCAAGCCCTGTCCAGCCTGGCCTTGGACGCTTCCAGGGGTGGGGCAGCCACAGCTTCTCTGGGCAAAATCCGTTCCAGGGCCTGCCCCCCCTCCCAGGGAGGAATTCCTTGGTGTGCACCTTCCCAGTGCTTTTGGAAGAAGAAGGAGCCGTTTCTTTCCCCAAGGTCTCACCTTCTCCCCAGTCACAACCTGCTCTCTGAGGTGGCCAGTTCAGAGACCTCAGTGGTGAATCCCACAGTGTTGTTCCTCCTTCAGGGATAAAGTTGTGACTGGAGGTGTGGATGAGCTGCTTCCCTTTGGTCTGTGCAGCAGCTCTGGGAGAAGAAGTGGCCCATTCAGAACCCCCCCAGCAGCTGAGCAGTGCCTGAGGAGCCCCGAGGGCAGCCTGCCCAGCACAGCCCCCAGGGCAGGCTGGCATGGAAATACCTGCACAGCTTCCTACTCAGCTGCCTGGGTTCACTCCAGGCTCTACCTTGGTCCTCAGTGATGTTTTCAAACAGGTTTGTGACCTCAATAAGCGCCAGGCAGAGTGGCTGTGGGTGCAGCAGACCGTGAACAGAGCGCCACGTCCCATGTCCTTAGAGTGATTGACGAGAGCTGAGGAGATGGGGGGGAACAGGGTGAGGAGAGGATCTGAAATGGCATTTCGAGATGGCAGAGGGGAAGAAATCCCTGCTCACGGCTCCTCTGCATGCAGAGCTCGCAGGCTGGAGAGGTGCAGGAGCAGTGGCATGAAAGGAAATCCAAGTTGTCTGGGCGGTGAATGGGATTGCAGCTGATCCACAGCGTTGTAACCCGTGTGTAGCTGTGGCTTTGGAGGTGTGAGGGTGCTTGGTGACACACAAATGTTGGCACCACGTTGGGTTCTCCTGGTGTAGTTTTGCTCTGTGAAAACCTGCCGGGGCAAGAGGGGCAGGAATAGGCCAGATCTGGTGGGTTTGGCTGGAATGCTAAATAAAAATAGTACATGTTTTGTTTGTTATATTTACAGACTAAAATGGTGAATAAATGAGCTGGGAGGCAGTGGTTGCACTGAGGCTGTGGGTGAT